GCTGGAATGGTTTTGTAGTTATCATCTTTGTAGACATAGTATCCCCTAGTTATTGTTGCTGCTGCGCTGCTACTACCAGGTGCCTTGAGGAGAAAAGGAAAAAATGAAAGGCATCTGGACAATTTGGATATATTGTTAATAAATATTAACTCATTGCCGCCAGTGAAAATGAACAAAAAATGGGGAAAATGCTGTGCCTATTTTCTATATTTTTTTGTTAAATGTTTGACCATAGATGGCTCTGTTAGTGCCTGATTTGAAATGGCAGGAAAAACGTATTTTTCACTAGTGCCATGAATATCGATGGTGTTATTTTTATCATAAACATTATAATTATTACAATGTTTTTTAACATTAGTAACAGCAAAATAAGATATTTTGTAAATCAAAGAAAAGGGTGAACGGGCGAGACAGGCGGTACTCGTAACTGGCTCATTTGTGATTTAGTACAAGTGTACCCATCCGTGTGAAAACAATCAAACAAGTAATCTCACAGTGGGCATGGCATGCCTGTCGGGAATGAGTTAACCCATTCGCCACATTTGGCAAGAATAGATGCCATACCCACTTTGAGACACGTTTATTTATTGTATTTACACATAGATGGCTCCACAAGTTCTTAATCACCAAACAGCCAGTTATCAAGAACTACCTATTTCACCTGTTTACCCTTTTCCTTCACTTTTGGAAAGGTTTTTTTTTGTATCATTTCATTGTCTAAAATATTCTAGTGACAATTTGGTAATCATAACATTAATAACAATAATAACAGTATCGATAGCAATGGTATTCATTTTCCCGCCAATGCAATGAATGGGAAAATCAGGGTCGGTAACTAGGGCCTACTGATAGACTCCTTGCCGGCTGAGTACATATGGAGCCATCTGTATGTAACATAATTCACTAAAAACTACAGGGGACAGAATATAAATCCGTGGCGAATGGGTTAATACACACACACACACACTCTCACACACACACACACACACACACACACACACACACACACACACACACACACACACACACACACACACACACACACACACACACACATATAGATCGACAGATATAGTACTTTGGCATACATTTACATAATGAACCAACTAAGAGAGGGAAAATCTAATAATACAATAATACAGTCATAAAGAAAGCAAAAAAACTACACTCACTGAAACATGAATTAATCTGCACAGGCAAAGAATAATGTCAGAAGTTAAGAAAGTAGACTGCAACAAAAGCCAAGCAGAGAATAACTCCATGGCAATCAGCTGGGGGTCTAAGGCCAAGCCCCTGGGTTAGGAATGCTTTTGTTTATACAACAATGTTTGTGGATTCCCAAGAGTGGCTGGAGTGATTGCGACTTGGTCTCAGCAGTTACTTTGTAAACAGTCACTAATACTTTTATTTACTTCATTTGGGACAGATCAAACATATTACATAATCAATAAATGAAACAAGAAATAATAGTTGTAGGTTGAATGGCTGTGTCAAACAAAAAAATTACACAATAAGCTGTATTTTATCTGAGGATGATATTGCTGCATTTAGGTTCATGGACTTTGATAGGCAATTGTGGAATTATTTAATTTGATCAGGTTACTGTCACACTAAAAAAAAAAGTGTTTAGTGTTCTTTATGGACCACCACCTTTGCAAGATGATACTATGAAAATTGTGCAACAGTTATTAATTTGGTATAAATTTTCATGAAAATGTAATGGCAAAATAATAATCACAGAGAAAAACTACACTCACTAATATATGAAATAACCAGCATGAAATAATGTCAGAAATAAAGAAAATATGTCACAACAAATGTCGTGTGCAGAACAACTCTACGGCGATCGAGTGTGGGACTAGAGGCGCATAGAGAAACATGGTGATTAGATCGGTGTCTGGGGGCAAATCCCCTGGGTTAGGGAGGTTTTGCTCTGGTCTCATATTTACTGCTCAGAGACCAAGTCCACAACATCGGCACAGCCACAGCTCTTAAGATCTTGTTTTCTATAAGGGGGCTCACCCTCCTCCTGACTAGGGAATGAATAGAAGGAAATAAAGGTCACGTATGGATTTCGGGTTCGCATGATACTCTGATTTTGGAACTTTGTCTCTAGCCAGTCTGAGGAGTATGGCCAGTGCACGCACAAGACGAAATCTAAGGTTCGTTATGTGCACGCCTGAAAAGCACTATTCCACGTGCACACACCAACCCTAAAAACGGAGAGAAATTTACTCGGGGCTACATTCTCTGTACCCGTCGGAACTCAAAAATACAAGATGATTGATGCAAGTCAACCTATAATCTGATATTTTAAAAACATTAATACTTTAGTGCTTTGACAAAATGTTTTATTGGAATTTTTCAACTTTAACTCTACTCCTACTTCAAGGAGCTGTTGACAAGAGTGTCCCATGGTCATTTATTTGTGCTATCTATTACATAATTTAACAATTTAACGCAAAGTTGTATCACGGGTCCTTAACCGGCTGCCTGCCAA